ACTTGACCTGGAATCGTCGAGAAGGAATAAAGGATTCCATGTCAGCCTGAATTTATGAAGTTATGTAAGAAGTACGTTTGTCAACAGGAAAACAAAATATTTCTACCCAAGCGCCATCATGAAGAAAATCACCGAAAGAGTTCTAGTCAGCTTTAAGGTAGTTGTAAGATGTACGATGATAGGGGGAATCTGATGATAATGAAGAATGAGATAATAGTTTTAGAGAGATCAAACTGTGATCAGAGGCACCTAAGGGTGAATGTGAAGAAACTGAGCACTGACTAGGATCAAAAACAAGACATATAGAGAAGGTAAATGATTCGAGTTGTCTGGAAAGTGAGTTAGAGGTTGACTATTTGAATTAGGGATTGAGAAAGGCAAAATTTGTGGGCTTTAATGTCTGCAGAGTCATTAAAGTGATTCAATGTGATGAACATTAAAGTCACAGACAACAACAATATTTGCTGATAGATAAAGAGAAAGGGCTTGGTCAATATGATCAGAAATAACATCAAGAAGAGTACAGTCTTGAGATAAAGGAGAGCGATGTAGAACAAAGAGAAAGGTGATAGCGTGAAGTGGTGCTAAACCAAAGCAGATAAAAGAGTAATTTGTGGATTCAAACCTAGTTTACCAACATATGGGTGTATTCTTATGAACGTAAGTGCCTAGGCCAAGCATGTGACTATTGGAGTTTTTACAAATTAAAGGAAGATAACCATCAATACTAAGATCACAAGATTAGAGAGCCGAACTCAAATTAGTCTCACAAAGTGAAAGTAGGTCTGGTGAACTTTGTAAGAGATAAGACTCAACAGAAGAAAAGTTACTTCAAAGATCACAAATAATAGTGAATGATAGGTTTAGAGAACTTGGTGATGACAATGGCTTTTTGTGTTTTATAGTTTTTATTACTTTATTCATTTTCAAATTTGTTAAAGAACTTGACTCAAAACATAGATAGTATTCAGTACACTGTTTATTAGCCCAAGCAATTGCCTCATTACTGTTAATAAACCCTAAACCGTAACAAAGGGCTTCAATGCGCCTTGGCAATGCACACCAAAAGTACTAACAGGGACACTATCCATGCGCAACATGGCACTGTTAATACTTTGATATTTTTCAGCTATTGATGGAATCAGCCTCTCTGAGAGCTATTACAGAGTTCGGGAAACCTGACTACCAGCCAGCCTCAGAACCATAAAACTGAGTTTTAGAGCTGTACATATTAGGAGATAATAAAATGAGTTGCCTAGTTATAAAAATAGAGACACAAGCAAAACCCATGCATCGAGTCAAGTATTTAAAATTGTATTAAGAATACATCTGTGCCAGCCTAATAGATGAAGAAGAGGTGCGAGGCTGGTCAACAGATAGATTCTGTTTACCCCTTAAGTCTTTGCGTAGGATGCCTTCTTTAAGACAGCAGTTGGATGCATTTAACATCTGCCCAAGATGAGATGTTAACAGTAGCAAGATAAACTTTTTTTTTTTTTTTTTCTTAACATTAGCATAAATGAATTAGAATTTTTAAATGATTTATTCTTAAATTTCTAACTGCGGCTTTGCAACTACAAATAATTTTTTATAGGGTTCGGAAAAATTTGAATCCGCAGATATTTGCCAATAAATTGTGCGCATACAGTCGCATAATTATGCGCATAACTTTTTTTTGCTTTCAAATCATCAAAAACCATTAAATTGTTTTGACTAGACAGACACACAAAAAAACAAGTTTTGATACTAGTTAATGAAATTTAAAATTAATGCGTTTTTGAAACCAAAAAATGAACCAATAAAAAAACTCAAAATTTTATAGTTTAAGTAGACATTTTCAACAAACAGAAAGACAATGGAAAACTTTACAATAAATAGATATTTGCAATATCTCCATACAGTAAAGAGAAACTGGAACTTGCATTGCTTGCCTAAAGACAGTTCAATGGCCAAAAAAATGTGTCGCAGCACATAAACAAACATCATGTCCAAACGCTAGTGAAGATGAAAAACGATTTACAAAATGAAAAGCCAAATAATTAATCATCTTCGACAACAACATTATAATCTCAGCTGAAACTAATGAAGTAGTTGACAGTGTGATGTATCCTGAAGAATTAAAAAAAGAAATCAATATGAAGTTAGCAAACTTCTTTTTCTGAACTGGAATATTTCTTCGTTTTGTTGAATATGAAGCTTTAAAGGATTTGATCAAAGCACTTAATCCATTGTATGCATCATCAATACCGTGCGCGAAAACGCTGTCAGGTTTGCTTCTTGATAAAAAGAACGCAGAATGCTCTGCTAAATTGGAAGAAATTCTTGACTCAAAATTTAATGCTTTACATCAAGGCATCAAATACAAAATTGTTTTTCTATACTTCAATCAACACATCCGGCATGATTCAAAACGCTGCAGCTGTTGCTGATGCTATCATCAAAGTAATCGAGACTCTTGGTCCACAAAAGTTCAGAAGCATTATCACTGACAATGCTCCAGTAATGAAAGCTGCTTGGAATTTAATTGAAGAAAAATCCACACATCTCATCGTATGGCTGTGCAGCACACGGTATGAGTCTTCTCGTTAAGGAAATTTTGCTGAAAGTTCAAGACCATCAAAGAAGCTGAAAAAGTTATCAAGTTTATGAAAAATCACATTGTTAAAGCAAAGTTTGATGAAATAAGAATTGCAGCTAATATTTATCCCTCATTCACAATACCTGTTTCGACTCGATGGCTAAATCATTTTAATTCAATGAACAACTTTTTTATGGCAAAGTATGTTTTGATTCAACTTGCGGATAAGGAAAATGTATCTTTGAAAGAAAATGTTCCAAAAATGAATTCAGCCGCTGTTTTAACGTTAATTAAATCAATTGCTTTCTGGGATAGTTTGGTAAAACTTGTGAAAGATATCAAATATCCTTACAACATCATTGGAAGACTTGAAAATGATGATGCTCCATTATCTTTGGTGTGCCATTATCTTTGGTGTGCTATTATTTTGGTGAAATGTACAAGAAATTAGCGAATGAGGAAAATATTCAGGAAATGGTTATGAAGCGCTTTAAACTCATCATCACCTCAAATATGGGAATCGCCTATATGCTGACACTAAAGTATGCTTCTATTTTAGTGAGGATAAGATTGATGTAATCAGTTCAATTTCAGAATTAGCCTCCAAAACAAATCCAACAGTTGCTGACACAGTTTAAAGTGAAATGATTGAGTTTGTTGGAGAAATGACAACACTGAAGAAAAATGAAAAGAGATGATTTTCAAAATGAGTGCAAAGAATTATTGGAAAATTATTGGTCGTCAGAAATATCCAGCAGTCTTTGAAGTTGCAAAATCTATTGTTGAAATGATTTGTTAGTCAGCAACAGCAGAGAGAACTTGGTCAATTTTTCGATTTATTCATTCATGATTGAGAAATCGCTTGACAAATGAACACATAAAAAAAATTAATTTTCATATATACCATTAGTTTTTTGATGGATACAAACAACAAAAATGACTCCATTTTAGAGGAAGGAGCAATTCTCAGCCAATTCAAGTGTGAAGAAATTAAAAATGAGCAAACGTAATACAAAAACAAATTAAATTGCCAAGTTTTGTAATATATTTTTTTAAATTTGTAATCATGAAAATAATTTGAAATAATTAATTTTAATTTAAAATACTTTTTTTGATTTAAAGTCACTTGCATTCGATTTAAAAAACATTTTATTCTATATTTGACAATAATTAATTTCACATACCATTTATTGGTTAAATTTGTATGCGCATATGCATTTTATGCGCATAACATTTGGATGGTATGCGCATATATTCGCCAATATGCGCATAAGTTCCGAACTCTAACTTTTTTATTTAAAAGAAAATAGCAGTAACAAATAAAAAAATTAGGTTAATTTATTTACTTTATTTATGAAAAGTTTATTAACGATTTTGTTGTGAAAGTAAAGATTATTTTTCCCAACATCATTTATTAAAATTATATTGCTGTATATATCAATTATCAAATGATATATTATTATTGCTACAATTTAATTTGCATTATAAAAAATTTAGTATTGAGTAAAAATAATAAAATTTTTTGAGTAAAAATAATTTCAGTGTTGAATAGTGTTTGAATATTAAAATTTTAGTGTTGAAAATTAAAATTTCAGTGTTTCTAGTAATATTTTGAAATAAATTTGACAGTTAAGTTAAGCACAAGCATTAACTTTAATTTTAATAAACTTAAATATATTTTTTAAATCAAAATTAAATTATATATTTTTAAAATCTAAATTAAATAATATACTTTTTTTATAAGAATAAATTATATATTTTTATTAAATTAGTTTAAAATTAAACTATGTATTTTTATCAGAATTAAATTATGTTATTATAATTTTTGCTTTAAGCTTAAAGTTTTAGCGTTTTTCAAGCAAAAAAATCAACCGTTACAATAAAATAAAAACAAAATAAAAATAAATTTTTAATTTTATTTGAGTTTTTTATTAGTAAATAATGCTTATAAGCATTATATATATAGATATAAATATATAACATAACTGTCATTCAAACTTTTGTAACAAATACTTTTACATAAACGTCATTTAAAAGTTAATGTAATTTTTTTAAAAATTAATTCCTCTTTTTATCTTACCGCTTAGAGAATAATTTAAAAGTTAAAAAAATGATAAAAAGTCGTTTAACCAAAATCACAAAATTGCTTACTACTTATGTAAAATCGCTTAAGGCATACATAAATCACTCTACAAGTAACACTTTAAAACACTTTAAAACAAGGCTGGTTTCATTTTGAATAGTTTGTATATATAATTTTCTCCTCTGTGTATGTACATATATATATATATATATATATATATATATATATATATATATATATATATATATATATATATATATATATATATATATATATATATATATAATATAAATCTTTGTGTGTAAATAAACTTAAATTAAAATTTAAAGAAAAAAAAACCTGATATAGGCCTTTCATTAGAAACATTACTCAGAGCTGGTTCCATTTTGAATAGTTTGTATATATAATTTTCTATACGCAATTTTCCAAGTCGACTATTATACTCTTGTAGTTGATAAAACTTCAAAATTAAAAACAAAAAAATCATTTTTTTTTCTAAAAACAATTTAAATAGTTTACAAATATAACAATAAATTAAAAAAAAAACATTATCTACTTTTAATATTTTATAACCAAAATTTATATATGAACAGAGTTTAATTAAACCTAGTCTTATTCTTTATCTGATGTTTTTTTTTATTATTAAAAAAATAAAGTTAAAAAAAAGACTTTCAAATTCACACAAAAACATAAGTTGTCAGAAAGTTGTCAGAACTTTGATTCTGCCCCTAGTAAGTGGCCTTTCTGTTGTTTAGTAGTAGGTTTGTTAAACAACTCAACTTTGCTAAATATTTAGCTTTACAAATACAAAACCTTAATTTCTTAAACCTCAAACAAATACCTTTTATCACAGAAAAACTTTCAAGATAAAATTGCTTCCTTTTTTTTTTTTTTTTTTTTGCTGATGTTTGTTAGTTTAACATGTTGCTTAAAATGTTTAAATTGGTTAGTCATTTTAAGGAGCCTACTTAAATTGACTAACCTGTATTTTTTAGAGGATGACTGATTTTATTTTCATGTCTTATTAATTTTCCAGAAAATTATTATTTCAAATGCTGGTAAAATTTTAAATTGAAATTATAAACAAACCTCATGCACTACTTCTCTCAAACTTAACATATCTAAAGATAACTGTGTAAAATGATTTTGCTGAAAGAAAGCTTTTTGATAACGATGCTGTTGCGATACTGAGTTGCCACAACCACACTTTCCCTAAATAAATTCATATTATAATCAATTAAAAAGTTTTAAATAAATAATCATGTAATCAAAAATTTCATTTAAAGAAAATGACTGATGTGCAGTATACCTCATATTTTAAATAAATAATCAATAATGGGCAAGCTCAACAACACAAAATATTATAAGTAAAGGAAGCGCTTATAATATAGTTGTTATGTTATTGTTTCTTGTTTTTGTTGTTTTATTTTGTTGTTTTATTATATTTAAAATCATTACAAGTTTAGAAACAACACAGATTATATTTATAAAATTAAATAAAAATAAAAATTATAAAAAATATATTTATCAGTGTGGAAAATAACAGCCGGTCAACAGCCAACAACCGCCTGAATTGACAAAAATAACTATTTTGACCTCCATAAATAAATTCTTGTTTTGAAAAACAAGATATGACAAAAAATAAGGACATAATTTTAAAAATTTCATAAAATCATTTAAGTTTTAAAAAAGTATTTTAAAAAGTTTTATTGTTTGCAATAAGCAACTTTAATTTACTTTAGTTGACAGGTATTAAATATGACGTAAACTAGATCTATTAATTTTTTTGCTTAACTAATTTAGATTATTTTTATTTTACTGGTAGTGAAAATCCTTTTTTCATAAATTATTGAAGTTTTAAATTTTATTATTATTTTAAGAAAAATATTCAATATATTTTTTTAAAAATAATATAATAATATATAAATGTTGTATTTAACTAAGAATATTTTTTTGTTTAACAGTACTTAGTCACTTGGTTTTGGTTTTTTCTTTAAAACTTTTTATTTATTTTCTCTTAAGTTTTTTGCGCAAGCTGCAATAAATGAATTTTAAATTAAATTATCATAATTATCATAAATTTAAAATTATCAATTGCGCATTTGCACTTTTTCTTTTCAACTAATCAAAGAATCAGACAAAACATATTTCAAAACTTTTTCAATTTTAGTTTGTTTTTTAAGTTTTTTAAGTTTTTTTTTTTTTGAGTTTTAGTTTTTTACTTTCAGTAAAAACTTTGTTTAATGTAACATAAGTAATTGCTATAGAAGCATTTCATAAAGTCTAAATTTGTTTAATATTTTACAAAAATTATTTTGATATTTAAAAAAAATTCAACAATTTTAATTACTTGAATGTTACCGAACTTCCATTTTTAATAGAATAAAAATATGTGAGTGCGAGAGTTATTTCATTATTAACATTTTTAGCAGTTACTTTACTATTAACATTAGCAGGTAGTAAAAATTCATTGATTTTATTGAAAACTATTATTCTAAAAGGAATAAGAATTCCTTAACTTTCAAGCATTAAGTTATTGTATTTATAATGTTCAGTCATAAAGCACTATTACTAAAATAAAAACTAAATGATAAAAAAATTAAAAATTTTGGCTGTCGAAAAAAAACAATTGACCATCAATTCTATGTGTTGGCTGGTCAAATTGACCGCTTGCCTTGGGTTTCTTATTTTCCATGCTTTAAATTTGAGACCGGGCCAAAATGAAGAGAAATTTATTAAATTAACTATAATTATAATCCAGAAGCTGTTGTAAAAATAATAATAATGTGAGGACAACTTTTGAAAAAACTTTAAGAAAAATATTAATTTAAACCTAGTAATATATTGCCATAACCTCTTAATTTAAATTCTGTTATTAAATTTGTATTCAAATATGTAAAATCTAAGTCCTAAAATTTTTTTCACTAGAATGCTAATTTTTATTTCAGTAGACAAGTTTTTCTATATTTCAAAAGAGTAACGAGAAAAATATTAATTTCCTGCTTTTTCAATCTACAATTCAGTTGATTCAGGTCTGTTTACTGTGCCTATTGTACTCATAGTTCTTGGTCCTAAATGATCTAGAAAAATTTCTAAAATTGTTTCAACAGAGTGAGGAAGAAGTGTAACTATAGTTTATTACATTAATACTACACTTTTTTGAATTTTGCCAGAAAACGAACGTTTCCTGAACTTGTAGAAAGAGCCTCACCAGAAACTGTAGGGATAATGGCTGAAGCAACAATAGAACCATTTTGATTATTTTTGAAGCATTTTTATCTAGACACGAAACCAAGCAAAGAATCTCCTGCTCTATTGATTATTGAAAATAACATAACTTTGGAGGCTTTATTATATTGCAGAAAAAAACATCACCATGGCTTGGTTGCTGCTCTACACATCACAACACATCATACATCCCTAGCCCCTTGATATGCCATTAAAGACCTACTAACCAAACATGTGATAACTTTATGGTCACTCATTCATGACAATCTATCACTGACAAAAAATATATTGGTGATCTTTTGAGCACTGCTTACTTTAAAGGAGCTACAGTTAGAAATGCCATTAATGGCATTTCTAACTGTAACAAATAAAAAAGTAGCTCAATCATTATTACAAGTACACCCTTCAAAGAACTGTTAACAAATAAAAAAGTAGAAAGAACATATAAAATATAAAAAAACAAAGAAAAGAAGCTTGTTAAGCTAAAAAGGGTGTAAATAAACTCAAGCTAAGTTCCTGTAGGCCTAAGTCTATAAAACCAGGACAAATAATCTAGTTTCATCAACTTTAAAAGATGATATTATAGGATTTCCTGATTGTGAAGAGAAATATTGTGACCCTCCAACAAAAGAATGGATTTAGTGCTGTAAATGCCAAAAGTGGTGGCTTAAGGAATGTTCCAATTATGAAAACAGTTTTTTTATTTCAGATTATTGATACAACTAAACACTTCAAAATTACATTACATTGCACACAGTAATTACTTGTTAAACAAGTAATGTAATTAATAAAAACACACAGTAATTACTTGTTAAACCATGTAATATATTCAAAAGATAAAATCTGTTTAACTATTTAAACATATATACATCTCAAAGATGACTTTGACCTTTGGTCAAACTCATCATTAAAATGTTTAATTTCTATCCTTAAAATGTAAAATTAATATTTCTATCATTGAAAATAAATTAGAAAGCAGCAAAAATTGTTTACATAGTCATCTTGCGTCAGTCTCCCCTATATTTCTAACTTGGTGACATCCACAGAAATATCAACAAATAAAGCTGCTAAAATCTATAAGCAACACTCATACAATGGCAATGATTTTTAAACTCATTAATATTTCAAATCAACAAATGATTGAAATAATTGAAACGCATAAAACACTAGTCCCTACATTTTAATGGAGCATTGATGGAGGTCGCAGTACATAACCACAACTTTTTACACATTTTATATGGTAGTAGTGTAGTCGTAGAACGCTTACTTCATAACAAGAAGTAATTAGTTCAATCTCCACCATTTCTTTGGTAATACCGTGCTAAAGATTTTTCTCCATGCAATGGCCTTCAAGGTTTGTGTTTGGATTTTTTTGTTAAAGAGTTGAGCAAGGGTTGTAACAATAAAAGTTCAGAGTTTCTAAAGTCCAGCATACTGTAGTGACTGTAGTGGTCCTCTTAGCCTTGGGAAGGTGAATAACATTGAAAAAAAAATTTTGAATAAGAAACTTATAAAAGATCTTGTGACTGGAACAAATTCTTGATAAATGACATAAAACTTTTGTATTTTTGTAGAGAATTTTGCAACATATACAAATTTTTAAGGTCTCATTAATTTTGCCATTAATTGATCAATGGGTATATTATACTGAAATCAAAGAAATGTGCCAGAAATTTAGACACTTGAAACTTATTGAAGAGTTTGTTAAATCAACATTGAGCACTCTATTTGTAGAATACTCTAACATACAGTGGTTGGCCATCACATTAGGACCAGCTGTAACTTTTTGTAAATATCGTGTAAAAATGAATTTTTAGACAAAAAAGAAAAATAATGGTGCAATTTAAAGTTTGTTCTTTTATTTATAAAGTTATACTTGATAAAAAATAAACAAATAAAATTATAACATTTTGAATATTTATTGGTTAATACGATAAGTTATATCTTATAAAATTGTCTGTTTGATTATGACAGGTAATTGCTAACAACCAGAATTGCCAATTGATAAAATTTTTATTAAATATTACTAAGAGTAGAAATAACTTGGCATGTAACAAAAATCAATAACATTGTTATTTTATCATATGGGGTTTGAACCATCTATTTGAAATAAATTGTAAAAAAATGTGTGGTCCTAATGTGGTGGCCGACCACTGTAATTTATATATATATAAATTATGTTAGCGCATATTTCACTCGGAAAATATGAAGAAAAAAAAAAATTACAATTAATCGAATTTCATTACAAACAATTAAAAATTAATTATCATTTATAAAACTACGATAAAAATAAACTAGTTTTTACAACATAATACAAACAAAAATTTTTTATTTTTAACCAAAAATCTTCTCCTTATTGCACAGTTATACACATACAATGATTTGTTAATGTTGGATACTTTTTTTTCTACCTCACTATTCAGTTGTTCTAATAGTAACCCTTATAGCTTAAGGCCTGCTAATTGTGGTGGCCATGCTATAAATTTAAGTTATCTACAAGCTTTTATTTTTAAAAAAATTGCTTGTTTTGGGTCATTATCTTATTGCATGATAGACCTGTATCTGATTAGTTGCTTTCCACATGGTGCACATGGTCACATGGTCACACATGGTCACACATGGTACACATGGTCACACATGGTCACACATGGTACACATGATCACACATGTTACAGCATTTTTATGTAATACTTTATAATTATCAAGAACTCCATTTACTTTCACAAGATTACTAACCTGATTGGAAGCAATATAGTTTTACACCATTACTGAACCTCCACAATGTTTGATGTAGGCTGTATAAACTGTGGATTGAATTTTTCAGTAGCTGCTTACATAGATCTATCACTTTGTTATAAAAATAAGGAAGCTACTCTAGAATTCAAGCCAACAGTTAAGGGATGTTGTGCAGTCTGTACAACATCCCTTAAAACATCTTCAGAAACCTATTTCTTTCTGAAATAGTTTTCTGAAGCTGTTTTTAAGGCACATTGTACAGTTCTTTCTGAAATAGTTTTCTGAAACAATTTTCAAAGGACATTGTTCAGTCTATTCTGAAATAGTTTTCTAAAACAGTTTTCAGGGGACATTATACCTTTCTGAAATAGTTTTATTGAGAGCAGCATTTAGGCTAGATATTATTTCTTAGGCTGCTTATGGTCTACTTTGTTTAAATGAGGGTATAATTGACTTGTTTTCAGCCTTTAATGTTTTGCAGGGACATCTATTTATTTTCTATCTTTATTTGTATTGGTAGATTTGAACCGAGGAATAGTATCACTCACTGTTGATTGCATTATTTTCAAAATTTTTCTGAATATATCTAGAATGACCATCATTTGCCAAAGCAACAATCGAGAATGTGTTTCTAGCAACAATCGAGAATGTGTTTTTAGCAACAATTGTGAATGTGTTTCTAGCAAAAATTGAGAGTTTCTAGCTATAAACAATCACAAAAAGTATTTTCAAAAATTAAAAAATTATGAAATTACAAAGAAATTTTAAAATATTAAATTAAGTTCTATAAAATTACTTAATAAACTAATTTATTAACTCAATTTATTATATGACAGACAAAAAACTGAAATGAAATTATGCTTTGATGAGAAAAAAACAGTTCAACTTTTATTTACAAATTTTGCAATCAAGTATGTTTTAGCATATTTATGATACAAAAATGTTATTAATATTTATAATTTCAAAAATATATTTGTAAATTTTAATTGATTTATCTTATGACTTTTTAAAATTAATTAACATTAATTATAAGTAAAAAACTGTGACCAGAAACTTTTGCCATGCTGTTTATATCCAAATGAGCTATCTGTCGCCAAAAATTATTATTCTAGAATAGCTTGTCTTTTAAACATCTTTTTCTAAAATATCAACAAAATCCTGTGGCAACCATTGTTTTACAAATTACAATAAAAATTTATAGAAAAAAAAGATTTAATAAAAACTCATTTAACACATTCGCTGTTAACTATGAATATACTTGTAGTAACCAAACACTGTTGTTTTTTTTGCCAATTACAAGTATACTCATAGAGTGCTTGGGTCATGTATTTGCCATTTGAACTTAGCATCATAAATTGGCAAAATCACTCAACGACTATACTCATTAACTTGCAAACCTATTAATGAAATTATATTTAACTGTTAGTGATCCAGTTTTGTTTCAAAAAAAATTACAGTATAAATATATGCAATATTAAATATACACAATATTAAATATATGCAATATTAAATATATCTAAAACACTAGTAGTTCTTTAAAATTCTCTCAAATATAATGAGAAAACAAATTTAATATACTTTTAATACAAACATTGTCACTTAATTAACCTGATAATCAACTTAATTCTAAAACCAATCCATTACCCAACCAATAATTAATAACCAACCAGTCAATAAACCACTTGATTTGACTTAATACTAAATACTAAACAGGTAATAATTGTGCTTACCTTACAGATTTAAAAATACACATATAGAACAAGCTTATCTTTAGGAACAAGTTTATCTTATATACAAAAAATAAAAAATTTAAACTAAAAACCTCAACAGTATAAGTGAAATCTTTAATTTCCCAAAGTTTTTTTTGACCTTCATTGACATTTTTTTGAGCAAGCTATAAAAAATAAATTTTAAACCTTTATTTTTTATGCAAATATAATTAAAATAAATAACTTATAAATAATTAACAATATAAATAATTTAAAATGTAAGATATAAATCAGTGTTTCATGCATGAACAATAATTTAGGCTTTTTCAAATGAAAATACTTTATCTTCTTAATACTCTTTAATTTTTCCCAAATGTTTTGCGACAAAACTTAAACATTATTAAAGCTTTTCTAAGCAAACTCTTTACTTTATGGTTAAACATTTTTGAAGTTACAGGGCGAGAAATTTTTAATGAACTTTGACATCAGATCTTTATTTATTGGCAAACGCCAATAAATAAATTTAAGAGATATGTGTTAACAGTTTTATTTTAGTTAAGTTATTATGTATATTAAAAATGCTTATTGAATTTAATCAATTTTTGTTTTATCAAAACAAATTTTTATGCATTTGAAAAGTGCGCACAAATTAAAGACTAATTAATATGAAAAGGCCTAATGATTGTAAACTGTTATCCATTGATACTAAATAGTGAACTTTTCTCATTTTATTTCATTAAATTTAATTACAAATAAAAAAAACATGTAAACTTGAAGAAATTAAAATAAAAGAAACTAAAAATAAACTGGCATATTTAGTTAATTTAATTGAAAGCATAGAAAGTAATCATTTTAGCATGGCTTTTTTTAAAGTCTTTAAAATGCATTTTAAATTTTATTAAGAATTGTTTTTTTATCATAAGTATGTATTTTTTATAACAAATAAAAAACTATCAATCGAATAATTATTTAGAAAAAAAATATTGTAGTAATGTGTTCATTGTTTAAAATCTTAAGGGAATGCTAATGTTTTTAATTTTTTTATGCCACCAATGTTTTTTTAATATAAAGTAAAAACATTTAAAATAACTTAACACTGTTTTTTGATTTATTATAATAATAATAATAATTTATTTTTTTTGATAACATGAAAACAGATATATGTGAAAGAGGCAAATAGTGTTTATATACTTAAAAAATTTAAGTAAAATATTTCTACTAAAATAACACAGAATATTATGAAAAGATGTTTAGACTATTAACTTTATAAAACTTCTATAGCATTTTTTTTCTGCATACATCTAATGCAAAAGATAATTTTGTTTCTTTGTATTTTTATTTTAATTTTTGTAGTTTTTTTTCTTTAGTTTTTTTTTAATTGCAATAACTTTTTAATTGGAATAACTAACATCAACATTATATAAACACTGATACAAAACAGTTTTTTAGTCATTGTTTCTTAGTATCTTGCAAGCTCTTGGTACCTTGCAAGTCCTTGGTACCTTGCAAATCATTAGTCATAGTATGTGTGTAGCATTGATTTTAGAAACTTCTTTTTTTAAAAGAAAAATTGCACACAACCACTCCACAGGCTACAAGTTTATTTGTAGGAACAAAATAAGCAACTTACAATTTTGTTTTAGCTTGCAAATAAGAACTAATGTGGGGTGGTATCAGAACCTTCTGTAAAACAAAAGTTGATTTTTGACTTGATGCTACCAAAAAAAATTTCTATGTACTTAAGTTAAAGAAACTAGTAATGAAAACCATAGTTTCTATCACTAATAAAAAAAAATAATACATGATTAGCATGAAAAAATAACAAGCCTAATAAAATAAGCCTGATCTAGCAGTATTTATCTAAAATATGAATGGTAATTATTATTGCAAAATAAAACCTCACCAAATTTTGAATTACAAAGTAATACCAAAATAATACTTACATTTTGTGAAAACATGTTTTTAAATTTAAAATATTTGCAGACTATAAATTTGTTAATTATATAAAGATTGATGACATTTTTTTTCATTGAGACATTTTTTAAAATAATTTTCGTGAAAAAAATTTATTCAAATCAGACCATTCAAATCCAACCATTTCTGATTTAGACAAATCAGAAAGTAATACCAAAATAATATTTACATTTTGTGAAAACATGTTTTTAAATTTAAAATATTTGCAGACTATAAATTTGTTAATTATATAAAGATTGATGACATTTTTTTTGATTGAGGCATTTTTTTAAATAATTTTCGTGAAAAAAATTTATTCAAATCAGACCAATTAAACTAATTTTAAATTAAATATAGATTTAAATATTCTCATTAAACTAAATTATTAAGTTCTTTCCAAACAAAATGTTGTAAATACAGTATACTAATTTTTTATCATTAATAAATATGATTTGAGTATAAATTTTAGAATAGATATAATTTATTTTAAAACCATCTTATCACTATGCATCTAATATATAACCATATTATGAAACATAATTTTTAACCCTAGTAGAAAACCAAATTTTAAAAAAATTTAATATTGTTTTAGAAAAATTAAAAAAAAACTTTGTACTAGTTTTTTTTAAACAACTTTTAAGCAATAAAAGTTACCTTCATTTTAACTTTTAAGTCTTGAACTTTGATTCTAGATTTGTAGTAAAAGTCAACTAGTTCATAAAATCTATGATGCACTTTGTTTGCATTCTAAATAAAATTTTATAAAATAACTTTGATATACTCTTTTCTTATTTAAATATCATATATAAATCTCAAAACAACCTTTAAAAACTCGCCAACAAACAAATCAATTTTTAGAAGCTCAGGATTAAAGTAAAAGTTACGTAATTGTTCCTCTGTAAATGGTTCAATTTCTTTTGCAGAGTATAATGACATTATTTCTTTCGATGGAGTCACACTTCGTACAGAATTTATAGCATTTTCAAAATTTTTTTTTTCAATACAGTTATTTTCTTTTAGTAAAACTTCACCCACAACCAAACTCACTGTTTTTTCCTTTGTTAAACTATCTATTTTTTCAGTGGTATCTGTCAACAAAACCTCATTCACAACTTCTTGCTTAATATTTTCAGACAAAACTCCACTTACAAACATTTCCTTGGTGTCTGTAGAAAAAACATCTGCTTTAAATTTTTCTTTTTTATTTTCATTATTAAATACATTCTCATTTAATTGATTATTTATATTATCAATTTTAAATAAAGATGATGAACCTGAAGCTGACATATTATAATCAGAATGGGAATCTATATTGAGAGAACTAATATTATATTCAAAACTTGGCAATGATATTAAGGGTGCTGAAGGAATTTTATTCTGTGTATTAAAATTTTCTGTTTGTGGGACAATGTGTTCAGAAAAGTTTCTTGTTTCATCTTTGGTTAAAGAACTCAACATCAATGGATTTGAAAATACTTCCGATTGATCTAGATAAAAAATAGATTGTGAATATATATATATATATATATATATATATATATATATATATATATATATATATATATATATATATATATATAAATATAAATATATATATATATATATATATATATATATATATATATATATATATATATATATATATATATATATATATATATATATATATATATATATATATATATATATATATATATATATATATATATATATATATATATATATGAAGGGTGCAATGGAAAAACAGGAAATGTCAGTTTAAAAATACTGAGTTTTTTTTTCTAATGTGTTGTACAAATCATAAACTACCTTCAGTGTTAAATTTGAAGCAAATAAATAAAAATTAATGGTCTTATTTAGTGATGAGAGAATACCTCTGCTTTGTAAAAATAAGAAATGTTTTGATGTTGCGGTAGCAACGTCAAAACATTCCTTATTTTTACAAGTATATAGTATAATGTATTGCTTCAAATTTAACTTCATGCATCTTGAAGTAAAAAACCCCAAAAAATGTCAAGTAATTGGCAAAAACAAGATAACAGGAAAAAAAATGAAACTTTTAAGCCATATAATGGTTGAGTCTTGTAACTGTATTCGTTTAAAATGTTTGAAAATGTTAGTTTGCAAGATAGACAGAATTTTTTAGAAAAGCTTAAACAAATAACAAGTAAGTACCAGTAAGATGCTATGTTGGTACTGATGATCTCTCTAATTGAAGTAAAACAAAGATGACCTAGAAAAGCAAACGACATGTCTTTTCTAGACATGAAAAGAATTCAAAAGGTCTCAACAACAACTGGTTAGTAGTTCTATTTTTATAAAGAAGTACTTTTATTTTTTAGAATGTTAGAATTATTGTTTAATTAAATATAAACATATGTTTATATTCACAAATAGTACCATACACAAGCTTTCAGTTCAAAATATGGTCATAAGCTTATGATCTAATATTCTATATTTTTTCTTTTTTTAAATAAACAAATCTTTACTGAAAAAGTTAATATTACCTTTGGGTACACAAGGAAATACACATGTTCAACAATCAATATGTTTAAAATAGAACAGGTATTTTATAAAAGAAGCAGTTTCTATACATGGAGCACACTCTTTAACCTAGTTTGCTGCAGTAACCTAGCTTGTTGCAGTTTATTCCCAACTCCGACATAAAACACGCCCTGCCTTGGAGCTCTTGGTTGAGTAAAGGCTAGAGGTGGTGTCTTGATAAAAATACTCATCTAGGGCAGATGTTGAAGGCATCCGGATACTGTCTTGTAGAAGGCCTCCTGGGCAAAGAGGTAATGGGTAAACAAATTATAACTGTTGCCCAGCCTTGCACCCCTTCCTCATCTATTAGGCTGGCGCAGATGTATTTTTAATACATTATTTCCAGTTTAGAATAATGAATGCTGGATCTCTTTGACTTGATGCATGGGTTTTGCTTGTGTCTCTGTTTTTATAACTAAGCAACTCAATAGAGGCTGATTCCATCAACAGCTGAAAAATATGAAACAGTGCCATGTTGCGCATGGATGATATCCCTGTTTGTACTTTTGGTGTACATTGCCAAGGTCACATTGGAGCCCTTTGTTAAGGCTTAGGGTTTATTAACAGTGATGAGGCAATTGCTTGGGCTATTAAACAGTGTACTGAGTACTATCTATGTTTCGAGTCAAGTTCTTTAACAAATTTAAAAACTGAATAAGGTAACAAAAACTATAAAACACAAAAAACTATTTTCATCACCAAGTTCGCTAAACCTATTATTCACTAATACTCATGATCTTTGAAGTAACTTTTCTTCTGTTGAGTTTTATCTCTTGCAAAGTTCACCAGACCTACTTGCTCTCTGTGAGACTAATTTGAATTCAGCTGTCTCATCTTGTGATCTTAGTGTTGAAGGCTATCTTCCTTTCATTTGTAAAGACTCCAACAGTCACATGCTTGGCCTGGGCATTTACATTCATAAGAATTTACCCATTTGTCAAGAAACACTAGGTTTGAATCCACAGACTACTCTTTTATGTGCTTTTGTTTAGCACCACTTCACTCTATCACCTTTCTCTTTGTTCTATATCACTCTCCTTCATCTCAAAACTGCACTCTTCTTGATGTTATTTCTGATCATATTGACCAAGCCCTCTCTTATCCATTAGCCAATATTGTTGTTGCCGGTGATTTTAATGTTCATCACACTGAATGGCTTGGCTCTAGTTTCAGTGACTCTGCAGGCATTACAGCCCACAACTTCAGCTTATCTCAATCCCTAACTCAAATAGTCAACTTTCCAACTCGCTTTAAAGACAACTCGAATCATTTACCTTCTCTACTCAACTTATGTCTTGTTTCTGATCCTAGTCAGTACTCAGTTTCTCCATATTCACCCTTAGGTGCTTCTGATCACAGTTTGAACTCTCTAAAACTATTATCTCATTCTTCTCCATCATCATCTGAATCCCCCTATCATCGTACATTTTACAACTACCTTAAAGCTGACTAAGACTCTTTCCGTGATTTTCTTCGTGACGTAGAAATACTTTGTCTTTCTACTGATAAATGTGTCTCTTACATAATTTCATGGATTCAGGCTGGTATGGAATCCTTTATTCCCTCTCGACAATTCCAGGTCAAGTCTCACTCTTCTCCATGGTTTTCCTCACATTGTGCTGCTGCAATTGCCAATCGAACCGTTACTTCCATATCTTTATCAGTAAAACAGTTTTCCAGAAAAAAAGAAGTCTGTTCATTACTGCTAGAAACCATTGTAAAAAGATTTTGTCTAATGCCAAAGCCCGCTTTTCACAGGTCATAAAATCTTGTATTTCATCACAAAAATTAGTCTCTCGTGAGTTCTGGAGAATCTTTAATAGTATTAATAATAAGGGCAAATCTGCAATTCCACCTCTCTTGCATGGTTCAGACTTTGTCACCTTACCTAAAGACAAATCTGAATTGTTTGCTAAGAACTTTTCATCAATATTATCTCTTGTTTCCACAAGTTATGTTCTACCTGATATAGTCAACAAACAGGTTGATCTATTGCTTGACATTCATTTCATTCCAGTTTCTGTATCTATTGTGATCCCTGCTTAGACTCTTTTACAGCTTTTGGTCCGGACAGCATACCTGTTATAGTCTTGCAGAAGTGTTCTCTGGAGCTGCCGTCTATCCTTTTAAAACTATTTAACAAGTACTTATCAGAGTCTTATTTTCCAGCCAGCTGGAAAGCAGCCTCTGTTATCCCTATTTTTAAAAATTCTGGAGAGCAATCTGATTCGTCTAACTACTGTCCCATTAGTGTTCTTCCTATTATAAGCAAGGTTTTTAAATCTTTAATTAACAAACACTTAATCTCTCATCTTGAATCTAATGTACATTCTGATCATCAATATGGATTTCAATCTTCTCATTCTATGGCTGATTTGCTAACAGTAATAACCAATAGGTTTTATCGTGCATTAGATAAAGGTGGAGAGGTTAAGGCCATCGCTCTTGACATTTCTAAGGCGTTTGATAAAGTTTGGCATGCTGGTCTTCTCCATAAGCTTTCTTCTTACGGTGTATCTAGAAACATCTTTAAGACTATCGAATCCTTTCTTTCCAATTGTAGTATAAAAGTTCTCCTCGATGGACAGCACTCTTCTTCTTATTCTGTTACCTCAGGGGTTCCTCAAGGTTCAATCCTTGGCCCTATACTCTTTTTAATTTACATTAATGATCTTCCAGAAAATCTCACATCTAAGATGGCATTGTTCACTGATGATACAAATATTATAATGGGCACTGCTCTAAAGAGCTAGCGCCTCTTGTGCCACCTACTAAAATTAATTCTCGTGCCACTCATCATTTAATAAAGCTTCATCCTTTTTCTGTGACTGTTTTGAAGTGCTCCTCTGTTTTGAAGTGCTCCAAACTCTTATTTCTCTAGTTTAGAATAAAAATTGAACTATGGTGCGGTTTTTGCACTACATGGTCCACCAGAAAAACAGATCTAAAAATATTTTCATTCATTCAGAGGGCAATGTTATATGGAGTGTGATCGAGATATGACTCTGAAAAATTAAAAGTTTCATATAGACTCACCAGCCAGCTGGCTGAGGTACTTTGAGAATGCCAGAAAAAGCCTTTCTCCTTTTCACATAATTCCAGTAGAAAACACTATCTTACTAAATATTGAAAAGCACATTAAACCTTTCTATGTTACTTTTTCCTCAATTAACATCCAAATACTTCAAGAAACTCTAATCTCTAAAAACCATCCAGAAAAAAATTTTATTTGAAAAAAATAACTAAGGCAAGACTGTTTCTTGTAAAGCAAAAAGATAAGTCTTTGAAAATTGAACTTGACTTATCTCAGTTTGCAAAAAACTGACATCCCCCCTTTTTTCCTTGCACCCTATAAATAAATAAATATATATATATATATATATATATATATATATATGTATATATGTATATATATATATATATATATATATATATATATATATATATATATATATATATATATATATATATATATATATATTTGGTAAAAGCCGCAATTACAAATATTAAGAAATAATAGTACAAAAACAAGAAAAGAGAGAAATCAGTTTATGTTAAATATTTAAAAAATGAAGTTTATGATCTGAAATTCAAATTAAGCTAATGTACTAAGCCTTTTTTATTTAAAACAGGGTATATATACCGTTTTTGACAGCGCCAAACATATTTGGGCATTAATCATTAATTCAAAGGTACTGTTCAAATGTTCATTTTACATTTAACAGTTGTTTAATAATGTATAAAAAATGATAACAAAAGAAAAACAATAAAATGATAACCAAATGAAATAAATAAAGAAATAAATGCCCAACAATAAAATCCATAACTCATGTTTATACCTAAAAAAAAACATTATTTTGAAAGAAAAATAATCTCTTAAAAATAATTAAAGCTATTCTGTTACAGCAGAGAAGTTACATTCGAGATCAGCAGCTACCTGCTCTAAATTATTGAATATATCAATTTAATTTAGATATAAGATTGTCATAAAAATCATTATTATAAATAAGAAACAATGCAAAACTAAGGATCGCACCTTGTAGTATGACAGAGTTTACTGAAAATGAAGAAAATAATTTTAATACTGCAATTAAAAACACCATATAAACTTATGGAGAAAACCAGCATATCAAATTTTATTAAAAGTTTTTAATATGTCAAGACCAATAGCCCATATCTCAAAACTTCCATTTTATGTACAATAAAACCTCTTTGTTATTACATTTAACAGGTCAGAAGTAGAACAAGGGAATAAAAATCTTTATTGCAGGTTTTGTAATAAAGTGCTACACATAACGCATTTTGCAAATGTGTAAATACAGTGATTTTAATTTCTTAACCTATTACAGTTCTATACAATTACATAGTATGTTAAAATAAGCAAGCAACTATTTATAACTTTAATAAATATGAAAGATAAATTTTATTCCTTTTATGAGGTACAGGGCTTTAACTAGTTATTATTTAAACATAAATCTAGCATGTACACCACAACGACAAGTAGCATGTATTTAGCATTGTAGTAGCATTGTTAAAAATAGGTTTTTTTAAGGGCTTGAAGAACAAAAAATTACTGACCTTTTATAATATCTTCATCATTTGTTTTTTTTGACAAGTCAATGGCTTTATCTTGGTTAGAGATGGAAGAATCTGTAATAGAAGTTGAGTCAATCTTTCTATAACAGGATAGACTACTGTCAGACTTTATGACATTTGATACAGTATCTTCTTCGTGATCTTTTATTTCCATTGACAACATAGGAGCAGAAGGGATCCTGGTGATCTCATTAACCAACTCGTCTTGTGTGATAAACAAAATAAGAAATATATATAATAGCAAACAAATAGAATAGAAGCAAAGAAGACCCTGGAGATCTTATTTACTAACTCATCTTATGTGATAAACAAAATAAATATATTTAACACCAAATACATAAAATTAGCAGAAGCAACACCAAAACTGTATATAAAATATTTTGCAAACATTTCTTTTAATTAAACTTTTTCTTGATAAATATATTAAAAAGAAGAAAACTCTTATTATACTGACTAAGATTCTAAGAACCATTCTGGCTCAACTATTTTATCATTATTATTATACTGACTAAGACTCTAAGAACCATTCTGGCTCAACTATTTTATCATTATTATTATACTGACTAAGACTCTAAGAACCACTCTAGCTCAACTATTTTATCATTATTATTATACTGACTAAGACTCTAAGAACCACTCTAGCTCAACTATTTTATCATTATTATTAATTATATTTTGATTTTTTTTTCTATTTAGAGTTTAACTAAAGAAACTCATTTAAAATTGATCCTAAAAAGTAAAAGTGTAGAAAGTTCCAGTAACCTCCCGTGCAAACCAAACTTTAACTATAAAACTTAACAAGGAAATCTATTTTAACTACAAAGCACTTCATCTTTCTAAAAACAAAAAAAGTCAACATTTAAGAAATCTTGGCATCAAACAATTTAATTGTAAAAATATTTTGAATTATTTTTACTTTTTACTATAAAAATAATTTAATTTATTACTTATATTTTATTACTACAAATGATTTTTTTATTTAAAAAACATTAGCAAATAACAAATAAAAAAACTATGTTAATTTATTTACTCAATTTATTAAAAGTTTTTTAGTTTATTATTTTATTATCAAAGTTATCACTGTATATATTGTTTATTAAAAAATAATCGCAGCGATTTAACTTACGTTACAAAAAAAACAAGTTCAACTTAAGTTTTGTGCAAACTTTTGATGCAGCCGTTTATTTAAAATTTAATTTTGAGTAAAAAAAAAAATGTTTAAGAAGAAAAACTGAAAAAACAATTGAGATAAAAATGAGCTAATTTTTTTTTAAGAACAAATAAAATTTCAATATTTAATAATATTTAGTAATATTTTTAAATAAACTTGACAGTTAAGTTGAACCCAAGCATTAACTTTAATTTTAATTAACTTAAATATATTTTTTAAATCAAAATTAAATTATATATTTTTTAAATCTAAATTAAAAAACATATTTTTTGTCAGAACAAAATTATATATTTTTATTAAACTAGTTTTAAATTAAACCATATATCATTTATCAAAATTAAAAAATGTTTATATGATTTTTGCTTCAAGCTTAAAAAATCAATCATTACTTTTTAAAAATCAATTATTACTTACATTTGAGTTTTTTTTATTTGTAAATAACACTTATATCAAACATAATTGTCATTCTAACTTTTGTAACAAATATTTGTACATAAACGTGATTCAAAAGATTTTCTGACCATGCAAATGATTTTTTTATTTGACAACTTGACCACAATTGTTTATATGTTTTGATAATTTAAACATTTCAGAAATGCGCTGAAAATAGTTTTTATTTTAGCTTAACTTAAACTAGGAAAAAAATAAAAATAATAATAATAATAATAAAGAAAAAACAATTCCTTACAAAAAAAAAATATATAAGCACTAAAATAAAAATAAAAAAATTAAACTCGAAGCGAAACTTTTTGTTACATATTTAAATGCATTTGGAATAAATGTTATTAAAACTTTTTAAATGCTTTATTAAAGTTACACAAAACTCTTTTAAATTAAGTAACAAATTACTACTAATTGCTTTATTAAATGTTTATTAAATGAAGAAAATTTATCAAATTTATTAAAAAGTGTCTTAAATAATATTTTTAAATTGTATAAACATTCATTTTTTCAGAAAAGTTACAAAAAAAATATTATTTAAAAAAATAATGCTGTCTTTTTAAAATAAAATTTTTTAATAATTTCATGCTCAAATTCATGTCAAGTTAAAAAAAGGTTTCAACTTTTTAATTTGTAAAAAGAAAAAGAAAAAAAACTAGCAATTTAATTTTAATTTGAGCATCACAAGCAAATTTTAACTTTATAAATAAGTGTTTCAAGTAACGAATTTAAAAATTATTGTAAAAGATTTAAACTCATTCATTCCTATCGTAATTGAATAAAAAAAAAAAAATTTTTCAAAAAATAAAATGTTTGTTTAAAATAATTTTGAAAATTGTTTAATTATAAAAGTTTAATGATAAAAATTAAGTGTATGAACATAACAAATTACTTTAAAACTTTTCCATTTTCAACAAAATACATGCTTTTATAAGTAAATAAAAACATTTTATATTCTTGTATATAATATGTTCATACACAGGTTCTAAGCAAGAAGTCACAAAAAGGTTTGAACTTATTCATAAATTAAAATAACTTAAAAAAAAATCTTACAAAAAATAATTGTTCAAAAGATTTTTAGGAAGACATGGAAAAATAGTTACAATTGTTTAAATTTATCATAAAAAAATACTTGCCTACAAAATTTATTTATAACATTTTTTATTAATTTACACAAAATGCATTTATTTAAACAATCATTATAATTAATTTTATGTTTTTATTTAGTCTTCGCATAAAATAAAATCATTATAATTAATTTTTTGTTTTTATATAGTCTTCGCATAAAATAAAAATTTTAGAAACAATCAACCATTAAAAGTTATTCATAATGTAAAACCTTTTTTTAATAGCATTTAAATTGTTAAAATATTGAAATAGCCGTGGTCAAGTTTTACTGTCCAAGCCTAAACACAGTGTTTGTTGCACTAAAAACACTGAGAAAAAATTAAAACATTTTAATATTTATATTAAAGATATTTTAAGCAAAATTGCAAAATGTATACAAAAAGAAAATTTGAAACTTTTGCAAGATTTTGATAATATGCATGGTTGGTCATCATGACACAAATTTAAATTATAATAATTTTGATTTGTACAACTATATTGAAAAAATTTCTGAAAATGAAAATAAAATTATTTTCGATTTAGGTCCCAAGCATCCAAAGAACTTTGATTTTCCATGTGATTTAAATCAAAATAATGAACCCTTTTCCTCTATGTATTTTTTTAAACAACCCGCAACGAGAAAATGAATAGAACATAGCTTAGCTATTCAATAAAATTAGAAGATGTTTATTGCCAACCTTGTTGGATGTTTGTAATACAAGAAAAAAATAATAAAAATTGGTGTAAAGCAGGCTTGGTTGGGAAGCGGGAGCGATCGCTTTCGAATACTGACCACGGAAATTATATTTAGTTAAAACTGTAAAAGGTTTTTTAGTCGTTTTGAGAACATTTAAGTTTATGTACGAAACAGAGAATTTTTGTTTTACAAATATACATGGAAACATAAAAAAGTTGAATGTTCTTAAAACATCTTTGTGCCAAAGAATAAAAAGAATATTTGCGAACACTAAAAACCCGCCAAATTAACGAACAAACTAATTCTATTGGTTCAAAAAATACGCTGATTAAGCGAAATAAAGTTCTAGAGTATTCTGTTAAAATGTTTTAGAAATTGTATTATTCACGATTTGTTACGTTTTGAGATTTCTAGCATTGTTTTAAGAATATATATTATTTGTTTACGAAAATAAATGTTTTAAATATATATTAATTAAATTGTTAAAATTGTAAAAGTTTATTATAAATCATAGATTTTATTAGTATATTCTTATTTTTTATTTTAAAAGAGATTGTATTCTTTATGTAAATGTAATTTTGTGTATTTGTTTTTTATCGTAATGCATTTTTTAAAGCAATTTTTATGATTTAAACAAAGACTAATTGCGTTTTCAATGAAGTTATAAGTTAATAAAACTAATTATGTAACAAACTTATAAGAAGTTTCTGGTTACTTAACACAAACAACGCATACAAAGTAACTCGCGGATGAACAAGCATCGCGCCTGAGGTCACAACAAGAACACAAATATTTAACAGCAAATAATTAGATATAAAGAAAAGTTTCTAGATATTGGTTTACTAACTCTAATTATTTTTGCTTAAGTTGCCATTTTTAAAACTCGTTATACTTTTTTCTGCTTTAAATACTAATTAAAATTAAATAACCCACTCACTAAATATTATTAGTGACTTTTGTGAAGCAGTTTCACTTCCTGATCATTAAGTATTTTAAATCTTTTTAGTTGATTTCTATCTCGATAATTTAATTCCTATAGTAATTCAATGATTTAATTATTTCATTTGTTTATCTTACTAAGAAGAATCGCTTCAAATATGTTAAACTTTTCAAACTACGCGAAACATAAAATAGTTATTAAAAAAATTAACTTTTTTATTTATAAAATAAATTAAGATTAGGTAAAATTAAAAATTGCAAACTTAGTTAAATAAAGAATATTTGTTTCCCTTTTAAACAATCGCAAGTTGTTACTTTACATAAAAAACATCGCTTAATTTTATAAAAAAAATTATAAAAGAGCGATGTTGCGAAAATATTTCTTCCAAATGTAATTTATTTAGCTTAAAGTTTTTTCGCGTTTAAAGATATTTTATTTGCCTACTTTTTTTTTTTTGTAATTGTCTCTCATCGGTCCAATTAATCTTGATCGCTTTTTTTTTTTTGCTTTTTAAAATGTTCTCAAAACGACTAAAAAATCTGGCCAGCTTTTTCGCAACTAAATATTATTTACGTGGTCAGCAATCGAGAGCGATCGCTCCCGCTTCCCGACCAAGCCGGGTAAAGGTATTGGAGATTGGTAAAATTGATCTACAAAAATTGAAAAACACGTATCATCATCTAAACATTTATCAGCCTATTTGACATAAAACATTTAGAAAAATAATCTAGGTATTGAGATATCAGCTGAAAACCTAGTAAAACAAGCAAAAAGGATTTTGGGTAGAAGCTATGCATCAATTGTTTCAAATAACCCTACCATTTGCTAGAGGTAACATAGCATTTTGCAGTCATAAAACTATTACAGAAATAACATTTTTTTTTGTGCAAGAGTATAAGAAATATATAATTTTTTTTGGTTCAAGCATAGATGGCTTAAAGTATACAATAAAATTATTTTGAATTCTCAAAAATCAAAAAGTGAAGGTTGAAAAAATTAATTTCAAACATAAAATTTTTGGTTATTTTACAATTTGTAAGTAGCATGTTAAATAAAATTGACACAATAAGTTTACTTCTTCAAAAAAGAATGCAAATTTAGTGAAAGCCATTTTTTCGTTGGAAAAATACATGGACACATTTAAAATACTTAAAAATAATTATGATTCACTTAAAAGTGACAAAAATAAAATTGCAGAAGTAAATGAAACTACAACTGATTTTAAATCTAAACAAACACTCGTAAATAATTTTTTGATGAATCCATTTTGAAAAAAATTTTAACAAAAGTCAAAATTAGATTTTCATTGACAGCATTTATAAGAAATTGTTATTGATTTGCTTTTATCTCATATTGGGAAAAAGTTTAAATCTAGAATAGAATTAAGACAATTTTTAGCTTTTTAGAACCATCTAATTTGTTAGAATGTAAAGATTCAGAAATAATATATTTCTCAAAGTTTTAACAAAAATTATATTACATCAAGTTTTGAGTATGAATTAATGGCATTAAGAAACAACAGTAACATGGCAGAAGAAGTTAACATATGTATTGATATAAAAGAATTATTGGAAGTAATTTTAAAATGATTAAGATTATTATCAGCCTATTCAAACATTACTGGGGCTTTTATGATTTATTTTTCTTTACCAATATTAGTGGCATCAAACGAAAGAAGTTTTTCCAAAATGAATTTAATTAAAAACTATTTAAGAAATACAATGGTAACAAATAGACTTAAATATTTATCTATTTTATCTATTGAAAATATAATAGCAAAATCACTAAACTTAGATAAAGCTATAGAAAAATTTGCCCATTAAAACACGCAAAAAATTTTAAATTTAAAATTATTACATCATATTATGACAAATTATTTTCATGAATATTTGTATTTTGACATAAAATATAATTGAATATAATTTTTCAATTAAACTATTTTTTATAAGTAATTACATTTTTTTATTATTATTATTACCTTATTAGAGGAATTAAGGAGCCTCATTTTATCTGCTTGCTTTGGGGCCTCAAAATTGAATTTCACCTCTGATTACTGGTACATTTACATGTCAGTTATATATCACATCTTACTATATTTCTTATAAACCAATTCTAAATCAACTGACTTTTATAAACCTATAAATTATTTAATAAGCCTCACAAATTAATTTTTGGAAGCACAAGGTAAATATTTTGCAAGAAAAAGTTCACTTTTCTTTCAAACCTTTTAAACATATAGAAATTTTTATATGTTTAAATGATTCAACATATTTAAATATCTACAACCTGTTCAAGATGAATTTGTTATGTTTAATTAATGTGTTTGTTTAATAGTTTGTTTTTTGTTGTTTTTTTTGTTGTTATATTTTTTAACTTGATATGAACTTAAGTTTATAATATAAGTTTATATATAAGCTTGATCAAAATTAACCAACTTTTAAAGCAAAACGATAAGTATAGAAATTATATAAAGAAAAATTAATTCATGATTCCATATAAATCTCCCACGCTTCTTATTTACAAGCACTTTCAATTTTGACTTCAATAAAGCAATTAATGTATACAAATAAAGAAAAATGCGTTTGTTCTGATCAAAATTGATCAATTTTTGAAGCAAGAGGATAAGTATAGAAATTATATAAAGCAAAATTAATTCATTGATTCCACATAAATCTCCCACTCTTCTTATTTACAAATACTTTCGATTTTGATTTCAATAAAGCATTTATTGAATAACAAATAAAGAAAAATGCGTTTGTGCTGATCAAAAATTATCAATTTTTGAAGCAAGAAGATAAGTATAGAAATTATATAAAGCAAAATTATTCATTGATTCCATATAAATTTTATACTCTTCTTATTTTCAAACATTTTCAATTTTGATTTCAATAAAGCATTTATTGCATAAAAAAATAATGTTGCACATGGAGTGACATCTTTATATATATTTTTTAATATTAGTATTCTGACAACAATCAAGTTTACATATATCAACTTACCACATTTAGTTGAGTTGTTTAAACTCTTATTTTTCTTCTTCTTGGATCTTTCACGAACAGCTTCTGCCATTATTTAAGGTTTTTAAGTCAAATATAATTAAAAAGTTATCTGCTTAAATTTGTTAGTTTTCATTAAAACAGAAAACCACATTTATGATTGAATCAGCCTGATTTTAGTGAATAAATTTACAAATGCTTTAATGTTTTTGTTTATATAAAATCGCTCGGTCAGCAAGTATTTGATTTCCAAGTATATATATATCATCTTTTCCGAAATGTTTGGCCCTATTGAATCATAAATAAAACTGCTTGCGAATTTATTGCTATGGTGTGCGAATCTGTATTTTCGTAATTTTTATGAATAAAGCGTAACATAATAATATTTTTTTAATATTTCATTTATTAGTTAAGAAGGTGCTCCAAGAGTCCTAACGGTCTTATCAGAAAACACCGCGGAATAGCATTCAACCACGAGGTTCACGCATCTTTCATTACCAATGATGTAGTAATAGAGATATAGTTATATTGTCAGAGCCGGTTTTTAACCAGAGACCTCAGTTTTGAAGCCAGAACTCTAACCTGGTGGTGTTCCAGGGGCGCACAGAGGGTGGCGGATCCTGGTTGCCCATAAACGTGATGCCTGGTCTCCCCCAGGCATCACGTTTATGGGGCATCATCAGATGACAAGAAAAAAACGGATGACACCGGGGTTCACCGCCCCGGGTGTCATCCACTTTTGGGTGACACCCAATTTATTAATATCTTATATTTTATTATGTCATATGTTATAGACGAGAATTATTTATAGAGAGTTATAGACACTAAATTATTATTGTCGAAAACAAGGTTTAAAATTACATGTGTCAACGTTTCTAAATACTGCTTTAATAATTTCGTATATAAAAATAGTTACATATAATATATGGGTGACACCCTATTTGCCGCCCCGGGTGACACCATTACTAGGAACGCCACTGCAGCCAAGCTTCTTCGTTGTATGGAATTAACAAGATTCTGATATCGTTTCACATATATATTTTGCCATACTGAATGTACTACGTCCCACAATTGATTACAACCTCTTGGATTATTTACAGAAACTGCTTGTTTAACATCAATCCACAAGTTTTCAATCGGATTGAGGTCGGGGAATTGTGCTGGCCACTACATCACATCGATTTTGTTTTCATTAAACCACGATTTGGCTAATTTGCTCGTATGTTTGGGATAATTATCCTACTGGAACAAAAATTTTAACGGCATTTATTCTTCAGCATAAGGCAGCATGATCTCTTCAAGTATTTTTACATATACAAACCGATCCATGATACCTTCTATGAGATGTATAGGCCCAACACCAGTGAGAAAAACAACCCCATATCATTATTTTTAAACCTCCTTGTTTGACGGTCTTTAATGTAAATTATGGCTTATATGCTGCACCCGTTGGTCTTCTAACATACTGTTTGTGAACATAGGAACCAAAAATTTCAACTTTGCTTTAATCAGTCCACAAAACATTTTGTCATTTTTCTTTAGGCCAAGAAGCATGCATACGTGCATATTTTAAACAATTTTCGATATGTCTTTTACTCAAAAGTGGCACTTTTCTAGGTGTTCTTGCATTTAAATCAGCATGTATTAATTGGCTTTGAATAGTTGAGGTATTAACATTTAATTCTAGCCTTTCTTTAATTTTTCTAGAAGTAATAAAAGGTTCCTTTTTCGCTAACGATACAGTTCGACGATCTTTATAAGGGTAGTTGATATTTTATTTCCACGTTTTTCTGGTTTGGGTTTCTATTTTAAACCATTACAAATGATTGTTGGTGAGCATCCAACCAGTTCTTGTATTTGTAGGTTTTACCATAACTTTTAAGATTTAAAATTAAATTACGAACTATTTCAATACAATGCTTGGGGCGCCTCATGTTTCTCTAAAATTTCAATATTTTTGTAAGTATATAAATTTATCTAATATCAAAATTAATTACTACATTATTGTTTATTATTAAGAACTAATAATAATTAGAATTTAATAAGTACAGCAATTATTACACAAAAATTAATTTTTTACAACTATTTTATTGCACAGTCTAAAAAAAAAATACGAATGACGTTCAATCGATAATATTGAAATTTAAAACCATACCGTTCTGCAAATATCTTTCTTAAATTTTTTTTTTATACTATTATAACCACAACAATTAGTTTATGAACAATAACGATAAAAAACAAACAATAGAAAAATATATTTTGATGTTCAAAGTTTGTTGATAGAAAAATAAAATACGCACTACTATTATACTGCACACGATTGTAGATTTTCTGAGTAGCATTTATGCGGAGGGAATTTCCCCCAGATATGCAACTGTCTTCGTATCTTTCTTACTTTGCCAGTATATGTGGCTGAAAGCGAGAGATCTTTTAGCTAGTTAGCTCTCGTCAAAAACTTCTAAGAACTACCATATAACAGGATTGTCTAAACGACAATTTTATCCTTTCAATCGAAACATATCTTGCGAAGAAAGTTGATGATGTTATACCTTCCAAACTTGCTGCTAGAAAAGCTCCTAAAGTCTTGATATAACGTCAGAAAAACTTGATACCAAATCCAGAAATTTTTTTCTTTCTTTGTTGTGTTTAATTGTTTAATTCGAAAGAGTTTTAACTTGCCATACTTTCCAACGTTCGCTTTTGCATCTTATATTTGCATTAGAAACGAGGAACAATTTAATGAACATTTTTTATTAAAAACCGAGGAAGCAAAAAGAATTCTAGTATACAACTTTTCATAACAATATTATAAAATGTCTTTTTGAAAAAACTTTATTAAAGTTTTTTTCAGGTTATCTGACACGTCTAAGAACATTAAAAAAACACATGAAAAACCTCTGTGGCCGTGGAAAGTTAACAAACAGTCTTATTGATAAGCTTCATAATTATTATGGGATTGCAGTTAGAAGTAATAAAAACAATTTACAAGGCATGAAGAAATCCATTCATGCTACGCTTTTTCATGTTGCCTCATCAAAGGAAAACAACTGGCACACTCACTGTCCAATCGGTGAATACAGTTGGTGCAGATATCAGAAAGATAAAGTAACAGGCAAATCAACGTAAAAACCAGGTGCAGGACTTTCACTATAAATTATAAAACATTTAAAACCAATATATGCAGATTTAATTGAGGAGTCTTTGTTACGTAAATATAATTAATATATGTCAGAACCGATTAGAACTAGGATCAGTAGTAAATTAAGGAACTTTTTCAAAAGATTTTAAATAAATTCATGTTAATGCCGATGAGCGGAATTGATCTAAAGACTCCAGAATAGTGTTCTTTAGATTCACTATTACGGGTAGTAAAAAAGCTTTGCAAATTATATATATAAAAAAAGCAAAGTTTCTTTAAATATTATAAAAACCTTAAGCAAAAAAAATTATAACATTTAAATAAAACGGAAAAAAACACATCTAAACTTCTTTTTAGTATTTGTGTCAATAAGTATTTTTAAGTTTTTGAAAGAGAAAGCGTTGAATATAAATTTAATATATATTATTTTTTATATATATTAAATAAAACAATATATATCAAAATAAATTAAAATGAGCAAAGCTGAAGTTGTTTCAATGGTAATGATGAGAGAGCATCTAAACCTACAAAAAGAGACAATCTTGTCATTCTTTACAGAAACATTTAACACAATAAATTTAAAAATTGAATCAGTTCAAAAAAACATTCAAGACGTAAAAAAGGATCTTGATGATATCAAAGCTGGCCTAACATTTGTTGGTGATGCCTGCGACGATAAGGTTAAAAGTGTAAATGAAAAAATTGATAAAGTTAAAGAAGAGTTATCCAGCGTAAAGATAATACAGAGGAAAATTTCGACTGACCTAAAATTAAAATCTGTTGACATAGAAGATCGAAATCGAAGAAACAACTTGCGTATTGATGGTTTATCTGAAAGTAGCGATGAAAAAGATTGAGAAAAAACTAAAGAAAAAGTAAATAAAATCTTTGCTGAAAATCTGAACATCAAAAGAGGAGTCAAAATTGAACGAGCACACAGAGTTGGAGTTTTGAACAATAATCGTGAACGAACAATTGTTTTGAAACTGCACAACTACGAGGACAAAAAAGTGATCACTGATAACGCATCGAAGCTTAAAGGTACCAATATTTTTATTAATGAAGATTTTTGTAGCACTAATCGAAAAATTCGAAAAGAGTTATTTGCTAAGGCGAAAATTCATAGACAAAACGGTTTTTATGCTAAAGTTGTTTATAATAAACTAATTGTCCATGAATTCCGACAAAATAAATGTGCAAGCACAGAAAATGTAATACATCGGGATAAATAATTTATAAATATATTTATAGGTAAATTCTTATATACTTACTTAAAAATGGATTCGAATAATATTTTTCAACAAGGTTTTGAAAATATAATTTTTGACCCTTTTGAAGACAATTTAAAAAATATCACAAATATTTTTCAAGAAACTCAAAGGAATTTAATAAAAACACCGTATTTTGATCCTTATGAATTTAAGGGAAAAAAAGAAACAAATTCATTTTCTATATTACAAATAAATATTAGGAGCATAAACCAAAACTTTGACAAGTTTAAAGAATTCTTAAATATTATAAATTACACGTTGGACGTCATATCTCTTTCAGAGACCTCGCATGAAAATACACTTGATTTTAATTTTATTTACGAATTGCCTAATTATAAATTAGTCAACCGCGAGAAAGTAATAAAAACGGAGGAGGAGTTGGTGTTTATGTTTTAAACAAATATTCATTTAAAATAAAAAATAAACTATGCTCGTCAAATTTTAATTATGAAAGTCTATTTATTGAAATAATAAATGACAAAGATTTTTTTAGAGTTATAACTTTGGGATCCCCAAACGGGGATCCCAAAGTTATAACTCTAAAAAAACGCAACCTATCAGAAGTTAATAAGAATAATTTTTCCGATAAACTAAAGCAAGAGACGTGGAATCAAGTTTTTAATTGTGATAATACAAATAAAGCATTTAATATTTTCTTAAACACATTTCTTGACATTTATAACGAAACGTGCCCGTATGAATTCAAAATAACTAAAAAAAAAAACAATATTGAATCCTTGGATGGATAAAACTCTTATAAAATGTTCAAGAAATAAACAAAAACTTTACAATAAATTTTTAAAAAACAGAACTGAAGTTAATGAAAAAAGTTACAAAAAATATAAACGCTTTTATGAAAATCTTCTCAAGAAAGCTAAAAAAACATATTATAGTAAAGAA